GGCTCGTTTTGGCATAGGAGATATCTGAGCCAGAGACCATATTTCCGCTTGCTATCGTTTAGACTTATGCGACAATAAGTCTTTGTAATGATTCTTACACCATTCGAGTTATACCTCGGTGTGGGGGTGTTCACCGCAATGCAGTTTGCCCTACTGAGTCTTTTATCACGGCGCCGTTGTTCCCGGCTAGGGTAGCAGACGTATTCCCACGGTACCGTTTTGGCCTCGAAAGTCGCCGTCGGCCAGAAACCAATTCTTGCCGCCTTCCGGCGTCGTCGTTCACGGTACCGTTTTGGCCTACAGAGTCCGTCGCTAACGGGGCCGTTTTGGCCTGCAGAGTCGTCGCTCACGGTGCCGTTTTAGCATGCAGAGTCGTCGCTCACGGAGCCGTTATGGCCTGCAGAGTCGTCGCTCACAGTGCCGTTTTGGCCTGCAGAGTCGTCGCTCACGGTGCCGTTTTGACCTGCAGAGTCGTCGCTCACGGTGCCGTTCTGGCCTGCAGAGTCGTCGCTCACGGTGCCGTTCTGGCCTGCAGAGTCGTCGCTCACGGTGCCGTTCTGGCCTGTGCTGCCATCGTCCAGAGTGCCGTTCTGGCCTGTGCTGCCATCGTCCAGAGTGCCGTTCTGGCCTGTGCTGCCCTTGTCGCCCTGCGCCTTTTCAACAATATGCAGGTAGACAGCTGATGTCGCCACTTCCACTTGATTGGTTTCCAGTTGGACTGAAGTGAAGACATTAAAATGAATGAATGAAAAGTACCATGAGCCAGACACAGCCTCTATGAGACGTAAATACCACATAATGTCATCAAGAACCAGAGCCGTACACAAACAGCAAGTAGCGTTAAGCAGAAGTTGCTCACCTTCTTTAGACTTCCTCAGCAACACAGACTCAAGTGAATGCTGAAGTGTAAGGGCCTTCTTCATGGAGGAGTCATTAGGAGATAGATCTATAGTAAAGTTACAAAAATGAGTGTCATTAACAAACCTCATGAAATATGTAGTCACCAATATTCTTACCTCTCATTGTCCTCTGCTGCCCATTACCACTCATTTCATTCTTGCCACCAACCGGCAAACCAGAGCCTGCAGATAAAGAAGTTGCTTTTCATCAAACATTACTTCATCACCCCTACATTTACTATACTCCACCGCAAAGTTCTTGAATTGAAGTCTCCAACGGGACATAGAGAAATACCTTTGGTAAACCAGACAGTCAGCACAGAAACAAGCAAGGCCCAAAACACTCCCATTACTTCGGTCACCAACAGAAAATGCAACCTGAGTCACGTCGCAGGTAAATATACCCATCTGCAGGTGTCACAGGAGTAGCTGATCAGCCCTGATTGGCTGGCTCTTCAGAAAGTCAGTGTTCATTGGAAAACTAGAAATCTGCTGTCCAAGTCATTTTCATTCATGTCCGTATTCATGAATTTCTAACTGAACTCCCAGAATTCTTATCAAGTTTAGTCCTTAAAGCAGAACAAGAAATGATAGACATTTCAAAGACATCTTACAGCCTTTTCACAGAACTGTCTTTTAATCGGACCATTTCAGAATAACGTTTGAACTCTTACTTGGAGAATGCACTCCACTAGACAACCGTTTCAACTGTAGTCAAAACGCTTTTCAAAAGCTACAGTTTAGCATGTCTAAAAAGAGTCATATCAAACACATTATGCAACTAAAAATAATCATAATTAGTATGGAGAAAAAGGATTCAGTGTAGCAGGGTGAATAGTTATGAAGAGTGTTCACGTTGGTGAACAATGAAATCTCGATGACTACCAATAGCCACATGGCTCTATGTTGGACCGCCAATTTTATTGACCTCATTATGCTTGCGTTGGGTCTTAGAACAACCTCCATCAACTTTCATTGTTATGCAGATGATACTCCAATGTATCTATTGATCAAGCTAGAGGAAACCAGCTCGTTGTACTTCAAGCAGGTCTTAAGGACATCAAGGCCTGCAACTTCCTGATGTTAAACTCCGAAAAAGGTTGCTTTATTTGGCCCAGAGCACCCAAACTTAAATGTCCAGTAATAGCTTCTATAGATGGCATTCACAAAAAGAAATGAGTTGTTAAGGGTGTGTCCTTTAACTTAACCTAATTGAAATGGAGGCACTTCCTTTCTCAGTGATGACGAGCAGTTTAAGAATTTGTGAAGTCTAGATTAATCAAAATCAGGCACGCTAATAAGGCAAAGTCACTGCATCGCAATGGAAGTAGAACAGGGATCCAATTACTTCCTGAATTAGCGTCAGTCCAGGGGGCAGAGAGTCACCTCATTTAACACTAGGCACAAGACGCCTTTTGGAGATCTCGTCAGCCCCAGGTAACTTGCTACAAGTCTAGACTGCCTAGGATTCAAAGAGCCCATTCCATTCAACACAAGTTCATAGTCAATCACTGAGTCACAACGGCTACTTCTGTGCTTTTGCACTGCAACACGACAAAGAGGGAAACGGCAATTTCAGTGACAGTTTTATTTAACACCAGAGATTGAAAGTAGGTACATGCCAAACTGTCTTAAGAGGAACTATTGCCCAGAGTGCCGTTGCGGCCTTTAAAGTCGTCGCCCAGGGAGGCGTTTTGCCCTGCAGAGTCGTCGTCGGCCAGAGTCCAGTTGTTCCTGCTGGGGTAGCTGTCGTCTCCCACAGTGCCGTTTTGCCCTGCAGAGTCGTCGCCCACGGTGCCGTTTTGCCCTGCAGAGTCGTCGCCCACGGTGCCGTTTTGGCCTGCAGAGTCGTCGCTCACGGTGTCGTTTTGGCCTGCAGAGTCGTCGCCCACGGTGCCGTTTTGGCCTGCAGAGTCGTCGCCCACGGTGCCGTTTTGGCCTGCAGAGTCGTCGCCCACGGTGCCGTTTTGGCCTGCAGAGTCGTCGCTCACGGTGCCGTTTTGGCCTGCAGAGTCGTCGCTCACGGTGCCGTTTTGGCCTGCAGAGTCGTCGTCCACGGTGACGTTTTGGCCTGCAGAGTCGTCGCTCACAGAGCCGATTTGGCCTGCAGAGTAGTCACCCCACGGTGCCCGTTTTGGTCGGCAGAATAGTCGCTCACTAGAGCCGTTTTGGGACTGCAAAAACATCGGACACAATGGCCCTATTGTCAACCGTAGCGTCGTCGATCAAGGTGCCGTTTTTGGGCCTGGAGAATCGTCGCCCCAGGAGCGTTATGGCATGTAGAATCATCCGACCA